CACTCCGAGGCTGTGGTTGAGGAAAAGCCTGCCACCCCTGAGCCAGCGATGAAACGACGTGGAAGCGACAGCCAGGTAGAAATTATTGTTTTCTCGAGGTTCTACCTCGCATTACAATTGTTTTTGCACTATTAGGTCGAACCGTTTCATTTTCACAGAAGTTCATAGATTCAAGGCGATTTGATTTATCGCACTCACTTTTATTTTGAGACGACATAGTGTGTATGGCCTCTATATCATAGATTGGCCGACTTTTTTCTCTCATACGTGCCGGCTTCTGAGCTCCCGGCATTCGAATTAATCTTCTTAAGATTTTATTCATTCATTCCACAACTAACACCACAATTTTTGACACTTAGGCACGCATAGGCCCTTCCCTAACAGCTCAATTTTTCAAACACGCCTTAAGAATACGAACCGCCGCCCGAACACTACATAATTGCCTGTGCCTTACTAATATTTCGGATGTTTTATCGTAGGGAACTCTCGATAAATCCCGTCCTCGTTAGAACCCTTTCTTACGAATGATCAGAGTAACCATCTTTCTTGCTCAATCTTTTGAGAATTCTTGGGACTAGCCGCTGTTCAGGTATACTCGATTCAGAAGGCTTTTTTGCATGCCTCTCCGCTTCTTACTGCTCAATCTATGGAAAGAATTAGGAATAATCATAACTTGGGAATATCTCAATACCTTTACTACACTCTCTGTCACAATTTCGATCACTGGTTTTGCTTTTATCTTTGTCAGATGTATCTTTTTTAACTCTGTTTCTATACTACTTTTCTTTAAGGACAAACCAACATTGGCGGTGAAAGGGGTATCGTCACGTCTCCCGGCAACAGCTGAAAAGATCGAACCTGACGTGGAAGCAGAGACTCCCAAGTCAGATTTACCGGAAGCTAAGAAAGCTGCTCTTCTGAGTCCGACTGTAGGTGTTGTGAGTCCAATGCTCAACCAGAGAAGAGCAGAAAACACAGGTGAGGTTGCAGATCATATTCTTGAAAATCATAGCAAACGCCAACGAAAGAGCTACGAATTGCAGCAGGGAAAAGAGTAACAAAACAATGGGTCGTTGAATGATTTGAACCTCTGCCTCTGCACTCAAAGTCGCAATTTCTCATTTAGTGCATTGAATTGCTTCTACATGTAACGTATAGACCATCAAAAAGACTAACAGAACAGAAGACCAAGTTCCTGCATACAATCCCTAACGGAGCAAAGGCAGGATCCTTGATATGCCCCAGTGTCTGCAACTTGGGTGCGACCATGGAGTGATGTCCAGTGCTCCATAGCATGTACTGCGAGACCTCAGGAAGCTCCATCTTGCGGGATTGATGGTGTTTTGAACCTTCCTCTTTCTTGTAGAATGGCATTCGTTCTTCCGGAACCTAGCTGAGGTCTCCAATTCCCGTTCACGAAGAAGGAACGCCTAAAGCAGAGAATGGCCTCATAATTTTGTAGATTTTACTCCCATTAACTGAAGTCTCTAAAAAGGACTAGTCGGCAAGAGAATTTAACTTCTAGTCTCGATTCTAGGTGTTTTGGAAGTTACAAAAAAAGTATTTGTTGGATTTTTCTTGAGAGTCATGGTGGAGGTATAGTGTTCGACTATTTCGGTGGCCTAAAACTCGGAAACTCTTTTTCGTCTCTTCACTTCATGTTCAAAATCATAGTCACCAGGTGGCCAGTACTGATCATGCCCCACTTCTAGGCATTCATCTCCGTTTTGGTTTAATCCGCAAATGAAATGATTGACTTTCAGTTGTCGATTCGGGCCAGCTCAAGCCTGCGCCTCCACCCATCGAATGCGAACCATCTTCGTCTTCACGTTCGCTTGAGAAGAAGGCACCGTGAGTTCATAGCTACGCATTCTTCTCCCATGAAAGGCTAAGCGAAGCAGTTATTGACTTCCAGACCGGTTCCTAATCGCTCTGGTTCTCGCATCGAGACGACTTTCGACTGTACCCCTCCGGCGATGGCACCAATACGGCAGCCACCTGCCTATGAGCAGCTTGTCCAACAAGGCCGAATACATCGTTGTCGACTAGGTATGTATAGCGGTTCGGTTTCCATATTGAGTTTGTCAAGTTGATCTCAAGCTGTTCGTCTAGCGGCGATTTATGTATTTGATGTGCTTCTAAACGAGTCTCATTCACATTGCGAGATAGGAAGTATGAACACAATGGTTGTTTAAAAAATGTTTACGTCGAAGCTTTCTCGACTGAGAGTTTGACAATGATTTTAATCCGAATATCGTATCATAGAAATTGTCGTAATTGAATTGAACCTCATCTCGAAAAGGCAAAACCATGTGAGGGTTTCCCGTCTTCTATGGGGAGAGGGAGTGGGGTGCTTGTTCACCAATTTATTCAGTATGCTCAATGATTGTGTTTTCTGTAAGGCCTACGTGCTGAAATAGTGAAGAAGTTCTAGAGGGAAAGCTGGAATAAAATGACTTCAACTACATCACTACGAATCTTCAGTGTAGGGATCGGCATCAACAAGCTCCAAAGAAGGGTTTTTTAATCGAAAATTTTAATTTTCATTCACATCGATTGGTGGATGTCTAATCCCTTGCGCCATCCATTATAAAGGTATACCTAAATGAGGATTACAATGTACTGTGTGCTCGTTCACGTTGTCGCTTATGTCGCACTGATTGACGAGGGTATTGTGAGGCCAGGTGTCGCGTGCCAGCCACGACCTTCTGGCGGAAAACCTTCTTAGCTCCTCTGACAGTATGTCGGAGAAAGTTTACGAGAGGTAGTTACATAGTTTAAAGAACCTCTGACTTCCGCTCTTTTAGCGACTTTTTTTGTTCGCCGGAAATTCGACCTTTGAAAGAAGAATGGGTTTTTTTCGAGAATGACTGCTTATTTCGGACTTTCTCCCTTCTTCACATCGTTTTGCTTACATTCTCATGAAGCTTTCCTCTCACAGCTTATATTTCTCTACTTTTCTGGGCTTCGGCGAAACTTAGAAACAGTTGGGCTTCACTTATGGTATTCGTTAATTTCGAACCCTTTTTCGAAATGGCGGTGGAAAAGCGGCAAAAAATTGCCATTGCACTTTGACCTCAAGTTAGGCAACTCTAGACTGAGTCCTGCTCACGTCTCCTTTCATTTTCCTTCCTACATGCTATTTCGGGAACGGTTTTGGTCCAACTGTACCGCTTATAGATGTTAAGGTGCCATTAGCAGTCAGTGTACAAAATGTATTTACTTATAATAATTCTGTTATCTGGGCAGAGGTGGTGTAGTGGTAAGTGGCGCACTATCACAAACACATGGTCACATGTTAAAACATCGTTCCGATATCCGCCTGAGCCAAGTCTTCCATTCCTCCGAGGTCAGTTAATTGATACCGACCTCCACCAATTAATCCGTATACCAATTATAATCGTCTGGGAGAACAAAAGCGCTGACTTGTACATCGGCTGGCTAGTGAAAGTCAGTGTACATGCCTTATTTACATTCCATGCTCCTCTACGATTCTGAATGGAAGTCAAATGTGAGGGTGTATTCCTCAGACTCGACTGACCACCGCCCAAAAGCTTTATGTTTTATCCTTTTGATTCCTTTTGATCCTGTTATCTGAAGATTAAAAAATCCGTTTTTCACACGCAGCTACCGGTGGTTGTTGATCATCAAGTAAAAAAGTCATTTAAAAATATGAAATTAAGCTGATACTGGTGGTCTTTGAAGATTTTTGGCGTAAAGAATCTTGTCTGAGGGGTGCACCCCCGCATTCTACTTCAATTCAGATTCGTAATTGTGATTTAAATGCCTGCATATGTGGACCATACGATGGCTTGCGGTGGCGAGCCGATGTACAAGCAGTACTTTTATCCAATCATACGAGTCTGGTACCAGTTAACCTTACCCAGATAATACTGATTTGGTTGGCCTAGGCGATATCGAAGCGTACACGTAACCATGCGTGTGTGATACTGCCACCTGCCATCATACCATCTCGCCTCTCCCCTCGATGAAGCAAACGAGAAAGCAAAATGTTCCTCTTTCTCAGTGGAATTTCGTGTCATGGGAATGCTGCCAGATTACTATTCCTCTTCATATTGAGCACATGGGCTTGATTTCCCCTCTGTTAGATATATTTCATAAGGACTCTCCCGTCCTTTCTACATCTCCCATGACGCTTTACTCGCAGTCCCTTTCAATAACCCTTCTGTGTTTTACCCACGGCTAAGTATGTTTCTGCAAAGAAACTATCAAATTAGTAAATGCTAAGCACCCGGATACAATTGATTAGTTTCCGAGTCATCAAATTAACCTGTGAATTCACTAACTGCGGTGGATCTGACGAATATTCCACTCTTCTTTCGCACCCTGTAAAGCAGAGGTAGCACGTCGTCAATAAGCCAAGCACAGACTGACCCTGGCGCTAGAAACGATTTTTTGTCACGGTCCAGCTGCTAGTTTTCCGCAGTATTGAGAAGCAAACAATTTCTGGTCAACGGCGCAGATGTTCGAAACGCAGGACAAGCTGGCGTCTCAGAAGATTTCCGCCGTTCACATAGATCGGATTATTATTTGACCATGAAATTCTATTGCGCAGGAATTGCTTTTTTGTGTTTTCTCAGGATAGTATATGAAAGTGTCTGGGAAATTTGTAGGCACCTTTCATCACTACCTTCCTCGTCTTCTTCCTGATCGCCATAAAGCATGGTGTTCCTGTTAGTCGTAGCCATTTCCTCCAATCTACAGCGTCATCTACTATCACCTTTATTACGGCGAGGTTCTTCTTGTTCACTTCCCAGCAGCTCTTCTCTGGGGCTGCTCGTGATCGCTTTCCTTAGGCTCCGAACGCCATTGCTTCCCTATCGAATGGCCTTAAGTTCTTTTCAGTACATGTCCATACCATCGCGAAAGCTGTTCCCTAATCTTCTACTAGACAGGGGCTCTCTGAAGACCATCCGGTCGTTTTCTTTTCTGAGCCGGTCCAGTCCAGTCCAGTATAGACATGAGCCCAGTCTCGGCTTTACCACGCGACTATCCTTGTTCACCTTTTATTACTCAAGTGCAACGCTTCTTGTTTTCCTACAATTCAAGGCATATTAGAGACTTAGAATCCAAGCCACCACATATAATTTAGCAATAAATTAATGAATTTTAAAGATATGCATACTTGGCACACGTCGATGATTTTATCTTCTCAGTTCCTTCATAATCTCACATTGTACTATGGTAGTGAGTGGTTTCTTTTCTTTCTTTCTCAAGATCCCTCCAAGTAACCGTTTCTTCATTTTTTTTTCAAAAGCTCTATGATCATCCTAGAAATCGAGCCCCTTTCTGTGGTGAAGGAAGTCCTGTGATTGGAAGTGTGTTAGACATCTCTCGACTTTAGAAACCTTATTTTGTTTTTTTTTTTTTTTTTTTTTTTGCTTTGCACAACCTTTTTGATGGGGTTCAGCAGTATTCGGACATATAGCTGATCGTGACCTGGCTAGTATTTCCCCAGTAACTTTGTTGGTGTTCATGCAACCGTAAGAGGTCATTAGCACAATGAGAGAACATATTACTAAAGATGGTAACTGGTAATTATAGGCTCATTATGTGCATAGCTCTACGATTGGCGGTTGGACATTTCGTTCTTACAACTTTAATAGTTGTCTTGTTAAATTTGCCCTCAATGATGACATCTGATTTTGCTTTCCTTCCCATGAACGGAAGATTTTCTTCTATTGCCTCGTCATCATGCTTACACAGTCTATATGAGAATCCTGATTTTGTTGTACGTCTATGCGAATATGAAAGGTAAAACCCTTCTGAATTCGAGCAGTTAAACCACCTGCTGCGTACTCGAGCTTTACTATCCATCAAACTTTACCAAAAGTGCCGTATGACCACCTCGCCTTCACAATAGTACGACTACGGGTCCTAGTTCGAATCTCTGACAGTGACGCAACGCAGCCATTTGTTATATTCCGGTAACCTCCCCTTCCCCACTTCTTTCGATGTGCTATATGTGATGATATCAGGGCTTATGATGAAATAATGGTATATTCCCGTAAGAGTTTGGGTTCTGTTGCATTTCAATCTCCGATGAGGTCACTGTAGGAACTGGATGCTGGTCATGAACCCTCATTTTTGTATTGCCTCCTGGATTTGCATCAGTTCCAGCTCAATGCCTCGACTTGCAACTGCGATCGCGAAGACTTTTTCCTCGGCCCTATGCTGTGAACGGAATGTTTAGGAATGTTGCGTCTTCCGGTGATTCATTTCGAACACAATTCAGAATTCAATTGAACACCAGGAATGCTGAAGACATGTGATCCTTCTAATGACGGAAAGGATTGATTTGTCTACAACAAACCGTGATTTTGTAGCTTGTTGAATGACCAGCCCATCCCACCACTCAACCAATGTTTGGCTTTCTACTCAAAGAGCGTCAGATTGTGTATGTTCTGGTCAATCGCTCCAACCATAAACTCGTTATGGCATCATAATCACCCAACCATCGGTTGTATAATTGTATTATGTGGAATGTAGTGTCCTGAATGCCCACAACAAGTCCACCGGGCTCCTATTTGAACACCATTTGGCGTCATTTGGAATATTTTTCGAATTTTAGAAGTCGATTGTAATCGGGCGACTCTCACTTCCTTTGTAATGACTCCCGTTCGGGCCATACGCTACTTTTAGGGTTCATTGTATTGTTGAGTTTAAGTAAGTTTTTTCATGGGTAGATATGTAAAGGATGGCGAGTTGGGCGCTCTTGAAGGAATTGCTCTTCAGTAATGAATCCTGGACTGACGATCTTGTTCAAAAGGAAATTGAGGGAAGGTAAAAAAGTGTTCCTGCTTCCTTGGGTCCTAAACCCTTCTTGAACTCATTACTCAATCATGCGAACTTTTCTTTCTCATTAGGGACGCTCCATTCTGACGCTTGCATACATTTCTTGAAAGCGTGAGAAAAATTGCTCTGCCCCCTTACGGAGTTCGGTATTTAAGGGTAAAAAAGTGAAGAAAGTTCCTAATTTTGAATATTTTTGTTCCTTTCCACAAACCTGTCCTCGGAATTCTCTCTTCCTCCTTGTCTCAGTATTATTATGATCCGGTCCGACGGCTGTCTGGGTATTGTCCATGGTCTTGCGCAGTTCCCACAGACAAATCAGATTGTGTCGGGGGTCCCGTCGACCACCTCCTGCCGCCACCAACTATGTAATTCATTCCTTCTTCTGTCACTCGAATTGAAGGTCTCTCCAAGAATTGCTTTAAGGCATTTCCGGGCCTTTTTCACTGTGTAGATCTTCTACTGCGAAAAGTTATTTCTGTAAAGAACTTGAGATTTCCGTGTGATAGCGTTGCTCTCGTTGACTTCTTTACTTTTGTCATTTTTGTTTTATGGAAAACGTATGAGGCTTATCTGTCAGGTGATAATATTGACTCTGAGTTAGCTCATTTTCGACCTTGACAAGCAGAGGCCTCGATGATCTGCAGAGTCTAAACTGTTCAGCTGAGATTTCCTGATGTCATTCGCAACGTATCATTTAATCCAGGCTAATGGGATGTAAGAGGAAACGACCTAATCTGATTAGTTTGCCCGGATACGATTCTTTTTTAGATGTTCCAAGTTAGATGAGGGGCGGGAGTAGAAGGAGCTTATGTCACTCCTTCTTCCCTAGCAGACGTTCACCGAAGAAAATCCCCACAATTTACCACAAGGAAAAATTTTCTTATAGTTTTTTTCAAAACGTGTGCTTACGGTTTTGAAGGTTCAAATTATTAAATTTGTTCTGTTGTCACCTTACTGGAACGTTTGTGTGTTTTTCTTGAAATTGTGATCAGAATATTTATCTTATAAGGAAGTAAATTAGATATGGAATTAGCATGAGAATTAAATATTCTATTTTTTGTGGGTACCAGTCCTATCATCAATTTCAGGTCAATTCGTAGACTCATCAACCAGCGAAGATTCATTGGATTCGGTATCAACAACTATTCGGCTGCAACCATCTGGTTACGCTTCCGAGGGTAACACTTTGGATCGCACTGAACGAGCCCGAACAGCAGGTGAACACGTCTTTCCTTTTCTGTCGGGTTTCTGTGAATCTTATTCCGTGGAAGAAGCCTTTATAGTGTTTTCGATGATGCTATTCTTGTGTCTTACAAGGTTTTCGGTGGTATTATTTGATTTTGCGGCCTGACTTTCGACGTGCTCGTTCTCTTCAGACAACTGTACATAACTCTAGATGATCTGTCCACCCTCGCACAATTGTCCGATTCCTCTATGTAGTAGAGGAGTAGGAGGCTTCATAGTAGGATTCTCAGCGAGTCAAATAGTCTAGATCCAAGTATAACGTACCTGAATTGTTGATCTGCACTCTGGAAAAGGCTTTTTAATATGCCCTACGTGGTGCTGTCGTTCCTTCCACAGTAAAGATGCAACTTCAAAAAATATGAATCAGCTGCGTGCTCTGATTGCTTTTATTCCTGACCCCCTTGAATGCCAAAGAAGGAAATGGAAGTGACATGAGCCAATTTCGCTGTTCGCAATAAAACAGAATCAAAGCAAAGAGCATGATAGAGCAGAGAGCCTCACGAGACCTGTCGCTTAGTTTGATCTGTGTGTTGATATGTCTTCATTGTCGGATTTCGTGATAGGTACGGTCAACGAGCAACGGAAACTGGCAGCAGCTTCTCGAAAGGAGGTGGAAAAAAGTCAGAAAAGGAATCGGATGAAAACTTATTTATGGCTCTTTTTCGAGCACTTTCCTAGCCACTTCAGATAAAGAAAGTTTCTAATCGCTGCAGCATATTTCACATTGGTGGAGCCTCTAGCAGCTCCCAATCTACAAGATATTGGAATAACTTCAGTTTACCGTGGGGCTGAGCATAAGGGGTGACCCTCCTCTACGACATTTCCAAGGCCCCTTTATTCCCTGGAAAATGCAGCCACAGTCAGCCAACGAGCGGTTTTTTTCTGATTCTCGAATTGGAATTCAATTGGGAGCAGTGTTCTTGAACAACAAGTATTTATGTTCTCGGTAGATGCTATTCGAAGCCGTTACAGTAGTCAATCCGTAATGTTTCCGAAATGAAATCGTCATAGAAACGGATTCTGGGCTCATTGTTGGTCAACTATCGCAGATGTTTTTAGAAACCTCCACGTAAGTACATCCATACACCTCGACATAACTGTTGCTTGGTGTTGTTTTTTTTNGGCCCCTTTATTCCCTGGAAAATGCAGCCGCAGTCAGCCAACGAGCGGTTTTTTTCTGATTCTCGAATTGGAATTCAATTGGGAGCAGTGTTCTTGAACAACAAGTATTTATGTTCTCGGTAGATGCTATTCGAAACCGTTACAGTAGTCATTCCGTAATGTTTCTGAAATGAAATCGTCATAGAAACGGATTCTGGGCTCATTGTTGGACAACTATCGCAGATGTTTTTAGAAACCTCCACGTAAGTACATCCATACACCTCGACATAACTGTTGCTTGGTGTTGTTTTTTTTCGGTAGCTTTTGGTTTTCCACTGCTTTTAGTGGGGGGTAATAGTATGTGGGAAGATCGCAGTATTTTCCATGCTTTTTAACTTTTTTCTTTGGAACCATGCTTGAGCACCCTGTATTGTCACGACGTCGTGATGACAACTAGGAGAACTATTTAGGCTCGTTACCTTTTCTCTGTGTCCGCCAGAACTTCGGACCGACCGCTTGACCCGACAACTATGGTGAAATCAAAAGAATATTCGAACAGCAAAGTCTTCTTATAGTTTTTGGTAGTCGTTGGATCAAAAGGATACTCATCTATGACATCGAACACTGGTGGTCAGGGTAGCTATGCACAGAGGTTCTGCCGTTTCCTTCATCCCTACAAGGAAGTCCTTCCGGGGAACATCTCATTTTAATTTATAGTGACGTCGCCACACAATTCCTACCTTCAAATCCTAGCTTTCTTCCTTTCCACGCTAGGAACCATCAAAGGCACCGCCACACTTGTGATGGTACTCACAGTCAGGTTCATCTGTAAGGCCAAGTGACGATAGGCATCTAAACGACTTCGCGATACGCACCAAATCGTGATGTTTTTAACCATTTTTCTGTTTTATTACGTGTCGTCTTGATTCAGAACGGGTCTTTTTATTGGTGCGAATCTGTTTAATTCCTTCATCGTTGGAACGAGATGGGACGAGCCAAGCCATTTTCGATGCTTTACGTCTACCAGATCATCTGTTTTTTCTTTTGCTCTCGAAAATCTCTTAGATTGTTTAAGCAGGAGCAATCAGCTCTGCTCTGCTACGTGTATATAAGTAGCATAGTGGTCCGGGTGACATCTAAGAATCATGTTCGAGGATTTGTTGTATCAATGCATATTCCTCTTAGAGAAAACCGGGACGACCAGTAAATTCCTTTTGTTTCAGAGCCGTCTGGGTACGTATCCGAAGGAGGCATAGCGATCTATGAGAAAATGCAAGCACGGCTGAGGGAGTACCGTGATAGCATGCGACGTGGTCATCTCGACTATAATGACAGGTTCGTTTCAGAGATCAGATCCGGATCCCTTTCAAAGTTACTCCTGTTATATGAGTCGAGAGTTAAGTCACACCACTCTGAGAAAAGTCATGGAAACTGTTCCGCTTCAGCATTGTGTATTAATTACTCTTGGGTAATCTAAGTAATGAAGTACTCTTTTTTAAGTCAACACCCTTACCTCCCCTGTTACTTCTATGGCTTCGGACAATATAAACCTGGAAGCCTCTCAATTTGAGCTCTGCTGATTTTTGTTTTTTAAAACTCTCCAGAATCACTCCTTGATCGATCGATTTTGGTGCGTTTCTTTTTCGTGGAATCCTTTCTAGGGCTTAATAAACATTGGAGAGATGTTGAAACGAGTTCAGTGGCGAAACTTCAGCTCTGTCCTCTCTGGTTCACTTTTGAAGCAGTACTGTCACACAATCTTGGAAGCTTCCTCAGTCGTCCCAGTCGTGACGCGGTGATATTGTTGAAATGGAGGTTTTTAAAGAACTTGGAAGTAAGAGATTCCATCCACTCAAGACATTCATTCGCATGCCAAACATAAAAAGGCAGTTCCCCTTAGTCTATCGACGAGCGTTGAGCGCATCTTTGCTGGTACGTAACCTTCAGCGCATTTTGAAGAGGGTGCGAACTGTTTACCGGATCGAGCAGTCACTACGTTGGAAAACAAGCTTTGGATAATTCTCCTCAGACGCAGTGTATGTCACAGTTGCTCAGGGGTTTACATCTATTTTTTAAACCCTCTTGAAACAAAAATTTTGTCGAAAAGAAAGGGTCCACCCGGCATGGTGACTTCACTAGCGGTTCGTCCGACCATCCAACTATTCCAATCCCCCGCACTTATCTCACTCCGAGTGGACCATTAATATATGCGCGAACGTCGCAATTTGCTTATGAATCGTGGCTTAGTGAACGTCGTCCATCGGAAGTCCGCTGATAACATCTATCGGGTGACCGATGACTAACCACCGTCACCATCGGCCCTTTATACACATAGCAGAACAAGGCTTTCGAAATGAGTGAATGCCTAAACACGGACTGATCTTTGTTAATTCACCAAACCCTACCACTCGCTCCCGCTATACGGTCAACGGTAGTACATAGTTCTTCTACTGTCATGTGTAGAGCTCGTAGCTCCCTTTGACTTCCCTGGTGTTGGGCATTTCATTGAGCAGTAGTTTGCGATCTGTCTCATCCATATCTCTCCGCTTAAACCGAATATTTTTGCAGTGCTCAGAAGGCGAGCTATCCCCTCTGGAAGTGCTCGTTCAGCTCAGGGTCAACTGCGCCCCACCTCATCCCCGGCCTCTCCCCCAAACGCGGTCTTTCTTCGACCCCTTAGACAAAGTAGACCTCAAAATGCTCCCGACGATAACCACTCCACTCCTTGCTTGTCTCTTCAGCTTCTCGCCAATGTTACGGCTGCCCGATGTAGGGTGAGTATATGAAATACCGTCCACGAATCCTCGTCATATGGGTGACCCGGGTGACAATATCGTAATCGTTGCATGAGCTTTTCCAGCATTCTAGAAGAAATTCGTCGAAATTTCCGATTGTTGACTTTGCAAAGTCGAGCGAACTCTCGGTAGTTGAACAACCACCGCAACTCCCTTCATTTAATGTGATGTAAGGGAAATTCCTCTTGTAATGATATTCCTGGACTGTATCATATTCAGGCGAATTCCCATAATTCTTTTGTGTTGGTTGATTAGGACCTAAAAGATAAGAGTTTCCTACCGAATCATTGAGTTGTTGAAATGGCTTTCGGGTATCTTTACCTCATTGCACCTGTGCGAAGATGGCTCCGCGGCCAGTTCACGCTACTTTTTTTTGAAAATCTCCATGCTTGGACGTCGACAACTGCAATGAAATTTTGAAAAGTTCGTTATACCACAAATGAGAGGAATGCTGCTCTTTGTCAGTTCTTTTCCATTGATTCCTTTTCTTCCCTAGAGCGCTCCCTAGAAAGCTGAACGAATCCTCTCTATTCAATGCCGCACTTTCGAGATGCTTTTTCGTGGAACCCCCTTTGTTGAAGTCGCAGTTTTGAGCGGCACACACACTCTCTGAATTCTGCTGATTTTGGCGACAGACAGCTGGCCGGGTCCATAAAAACGCAACGTGCGGAATCAGAGGCGCGCACATCTGCTGAGCGACTCTTTTGACCAGCCGACATGAAAGGGGAGCGTGGAAAAACGACATCAGACGATGACTGCCGCAAGCTCAAGAACTGCTCTGATTTTCTTGTCCTTCCATAGATGAAGATGGCTGCTGGAAAATGTGCAAATTGCGATTAACTGTTCAGGGCAGAATGAATTGATATCAGTTATTGTTGCAAATTACCACTGGTCGGGCTGAATGAGTTAACACTGTATCAGTTCCCAAGCAAACAAGTTTAGCAGCTCCCTCATCAGCTAGCTCTGCCTCCACCTGGTTTCATGGCGTTTTAGGACCCATGCTACCCTGTGAATTCAATCTTAGCACGAAAATATTTGCTCTCAATATGGAATCATCCGTTAGCGGCTTTCCTTCACCAAATATATGTATTGGCGTCGTGCTGCTGTTGGCGAAGGCGGTACCCAAGGCAGCCCAGTATTTGTTCCATTTTGAACTCTTCTAGGCAAGCATGAGCTGCCCATCCTCATGCTTTCGATTATCGTGCTCCAAAATCTGCCATTGACATGTGCAGACTACAGGAACGTTAATTCTTCCTGTGGCAAAGCTTATGATGGGTAGATAACCAGCTCTCACCTCTTTGACTCGCTTAATTATACGTTACGTCGGTGTTTCCAAGGTGCAAGCATTGTTGTGAGGGCGACGGCATTGTGCTGTTATGGGAAGCGGGGCGGTAAATCGGCCAACATGGCCTCCAGCACCACTACACTATTCTTCATTCACAGCTACTGGCCTTTCCGGATTCTATGCACTCCACCTAAAATTCGCTGTCAAACGATCGCCTATAAGGCATGACGAGGTCGTAATGTCCTACATCGACAAGATTCTGGCACGAAAACGCCTTTTTCTGAGGTAACATACTAGAGAAGCTTCCCACAGCACATCAGCCCACATTGCATTGAAACTCATCCCCTTTCAGAAAATAATTCTTTTTTCCTGATATCTTTTAGGGGCATGCCTTTTTCTGGGTGAAATATTGTGTGATCATTAAATGCTTCCGTTTTTGGGATGCAACTTTGTTCCTTTTGCGAGGGAATCTACTGCCATGCTGTTCCGAATAACGCAAATGACTACGATCGTTCGAATCATGTCAACTAGGTTCAAATTAGCCTTTTTCTGGTGTTCTCAGTGTTTCTGTGGTTTGGGGGTGGAAAAACACATGCCTGTCATCTGAATTCCTGCTGTTAGGCCGATTCATTAAGGTTCAGTTCTCTCCCTTTTATGTAGCCATCGGAAGGCAGTCGATTAGCTCACCAGCCAGCATCCTTCGCAGTCATAATGTCGGTCAGTTCTCGGCATCCTTTGATGCGTTACAGCTACTATGTACAGATGGTGTTATCTGACGGATTAGCCCTCTCATCTTGTTCCTTGACGGGCAAACGATCGCATTCTGCCATAGCCAGAGATTAGAGAGTCAATCTAATGAAGAGTGCGGCTGAGACTGATTGACAGAATTTTGGTTATTTAAAAAGTCTTTTTGACATCATAGGAGGCCCGCAAATAGATTTCCTTTCCTGGGACTCTTCTATTTCTGTGAATTTGAGATTATCCCTTGGTAGTGCAGTTCAGACCAGCTAGCTTAATCCCTCATTCAAGAAGTTGCTGCTGCGAGCGATCGCGTGCCGTGAATACACTCTTTAGTGGATCCGTGCCACCCAAAAATGTGGACAAAACGGGTGCCGTCTAACATGATTTCTGCGGGGCCATGCAGGCAAAGTCCACGACGTACCTCATGCATATGGAAACATCTGGGAACTCTCTTGAAGATTTCTTGGATGGTTAGACCAAGAGTAACCCACCTCCTACTTGCCACCCAGTCCTCCTTTTCTTTCATGTTGGCTTTGAGAAACGCTGTGTTTTTTGGCGTTTTTGGGAAGTACCACTTCACGCTAAAAAGCCTGACATTAAAAAGGTTCTGGCCCGTTGTGAAATACCTGTTGCTTTGGAAATTCGCCCTAAAAAGTGCGAAAGTTCATCCAGGGGGCTATAGGAATCCAAACCAGAAATTTAGTTCTAATGCAGAACCTGCACCACTCCAAAAAAATGTTTAAGTACGATTCCTATGGACCATTCATTCCGTAGGTAGCTCTAGCACCACAGGTACGACGGGAGATTTTTCGTTAGATTTGTGAATACAGCAAAGGTGGTAGTATTTGTTGCCATTTGTTGATTCAGTACCGAGTGGAATACGTCCACGACTTCCAAGGGATCCCAAATCCATTTTCGATACGAATTTTTTGACATTATCAACCTCTTCTCTTTGATTGTTCTTCACTGTTCCGCCTCTCAAAAATGAGCCCAATGCTGCGGCTCTGACCTTTGTTGTTGGGTCGTATGCACTCTTGACCTCATTGTTGCCGCAAATATCAGTCGGAACAACCCCAACATGCCAGGGTGTAATTTTTATTTTCACCACGGAGTGCATGTCGGCTTGGAATATCCTGTCTCCATAATTTATTCGGTTACCTAGGTAGTTGTGGTGTACTCTATGTACTTCGAATTTCAATGGTTTCATCAATCAAAATGAGTTCTTCGTCTGAACAATAATGCGTTTCTTCGATTTGTTCTTCTTGTTCGACCAGAATTGTGCTGTAGTATAGGACATGTTGGGTCATAATTTTTCTACTTGTAGTTACTTTCCTACATTATTGAAATACCTGTCGTTTCTGTGGGAAGATATGTTCTTGAAAATGACGTCAGTTAGTTCGCACAAGTTCTTTATGCCCGCAGTCCAGAGATTTATTATAGTTGCTACTCGTTTTGTTAGGAGAAAAAGTTCCTCACAGCACACTCTTGCATGCATGCTTTCGGTTTTTTGTGTTCTTCATCTTCTGAAGTAAGCATGGTGTACATAGCGATCATTTTCTCACCGTTCCCGCAAACAAAGGATTTTCCTGCCGAGCTCCTTCAGCTTTTTGATCACGTTTCAGCCATACTCAGATGACGATTCCATCCTTAGTCTGAGGTCCGGTCGCTTTTTTGGTCCCAGGCACGTTTCCGTGAAAAGGATGTCAGTGAAGCGTGAGATGTCTGCAGCCATGTCACATAGGCTACATCATCTGTAGTCGGTGGGTGATCGCCTTTGGCCACAACGACCTCATTTTTCTTTACCTCTAAGAACCACCCATTTCCCATTTACACAATCTTTTTGAAGGGCCATCATGGATTCACCCGAAACGCTATTCTGATTAAGTCGGTCCATTGATGAGACAGCGCTTAGTTTTTCACTCGATGGCTTGATTACCTGTTTTCTACTTTCTTCCAAAGTTTGACGTTGCCACAAATAAAGGCGGTGAAAATGAGAGTTTGATATGAACCGCATCATGTTTTTTTTTTGTGGTGCTGCCGAACATCGCCCAACTTTTTCGCCAGGCAGGATCGCTATACTCGCATGTTTGCCCCCAAAAAGGCCTCCATGGAAGCTATTCTGTTTGTCCTAGGCCTCAAAGAATCTCGTCTTCGTTGAGGTGACAGCACAGCAGTCTCATGCAATTTTAAGCTAGGAAAAGAAGCAAGCCATTCTCGAATGTTCCGACTTGCCTATGTGGACGTTTGGTTGAGCCCACATCCTTGTTCAATCCTCAATCCTAGTGAACTGAAGCTTTTTTTTGAGCTCGACTCGAAGATCAATTGCGAAGCGGTCTTGCTTGTCGCTTATGACCTTATTCCAACCATATGACAACGTCGGTCTTCGTAATTCTCACCCATTTTTGGTCTCAAATTGAGGCCAGAGCCGCTGCGCCTTCGTTGCCAACTGCACTGAGTGCTCTCGATGCTGAAGAGCTTTTGAGTGTGCTCAAAATTTCTTGTTATTAATCGGACGTCGTCGGCCGTCCTTTCGCACTAGTGGTCACTTCCCTTCTAACTCAGCGATTCGTGCAATTTCCGTTCCTTCGCAGTCCCTCTGGGCGTCAACAGCAGGATTGTACAGCTAGAACCAGGAGTTTGACCCCCTCCCCCCTCCCCTCTTTGCACCATCCTTTTCGTTAGGAAAATAAAGGAATCTTACTTATGAAGGTAATATTGCAAGCCCATTGATCTTCACCATGAGGCCTAACGCATTAAAAATTAGTACTAATTTTTATATTTCCTATATTTCCAATGCTGGATGGCCTCAGTTCGCGAAAGGTCCGCTGTACTCTACGGAGTTAGCGTTTTTGTTAAATTATCGGGAATGGGAACTAGCGTTATCTCCCAACTCATCACATCATTCGAGTCGGCTCTAGTTCCTTACGTGTATTGAATTGGTCCAGCTCAACAGGATTTCGTTTGAATTCCTTGCATCACTTGGTCCGCCCCTGATCCTCTTGTTCCATTCAGCGTCAGCGTCACTGACGATGATCTCGTTCCTTTATCGCGCCAGAGTTAATCCATAGAGTCGGCTGGCGCTTCGTCATAATCGACCGCCTACTAGACCACACTCACTGCTTCTCGTTCCTTCCCGAAAGACTCTCTACCAGATTCCTTTCTGGGAATTGTCGACTACAGGTGATGCCCTTTACGCATGAGCGATTTCCCTAGCCGCCCATGTTGCACCATGCGGATAACTTTCGTTCCGACATGCATGTAATCGATTATGTACTTGTCGCAAAAGCATGTCATTAGGCAATTAAGCAATATAGAGCAGATAGAGGCACTGCTGTTGCTAGAGATGGAGTCTCTGGCCTTCAACCGTCACTCAAACGTGGTGGAGGCTCTATCTGGACTGAATCCATCCGCCACGCCCCTCAGCTAAGCCAATCTATGTCATTTCAGTTTTGAGGACAGTTCGTCGATCTCCAGCGGCATTTCTGAAAATTTCGACGACGTTTCCACGGACGATCTGAGTGGCACGTAAGTGAACTCGAACTTTCTTTGCCATTCCATTATAGATTTTTCTTTCTGGTTCCCTCATAATTGTTGATTTCCTTTAGAAGATTTCTTTCTTCGCAAGAAGCTTTTTCATTGCAAGCGTTGTCTACTAGCATTTCCAAAAAGAGCAGATTCTTCAAGAGATCCAGCTATTTCTTTTGTTTTATGACCTTCAGATACAATCAAACGACTATGAACATGTCCTGTCGTTCATAAGCCCCTAGTGCTTATGAGAACAGTGTGGCATTGAGACCGTAGAAGAAAGTCCAGTAGAGAGTGGAGGGATGAGGTTCGGTGTTGGCTTGTTTCGCCTCAGGGTTTTTATCATATAGGTTATTCAAGGTTATATCAGGTTATTCAACTTTGATCACACCACATCCTGACTGTACATAGTTACCTATTCGGTCATGAGTAGCGGCTGAGCGACTGCCGGGAGGTGGGCGCAATGACCCTGTTTACCCTTTCAAGGGTGAGCGGGTCTTCTCACTCACTACTTCAGAATTAATAATTGTTTGTTCTTCCTATCATTAGGCTTTAAATAATTTCCACCCAAAAATTTAGAACAAGCGAGTAAATGAAAGTAGATGGAATAGTGAAGGATGAGTTAGAATTAGAGATGGTGGAGCTATCCAAGAAACAGAGAACATACTAGACTCTCGTTGTTTACTCGGCTCTACTCGGTCTACTACCAGGTGGAAGCCTAGGTTAGGGAGACTTTCCATCCTGTGGCACCGTGACATACCTATTGTTTACTATTTGTTTGTGCTTGAGCATAATGGAATTAAAACAATCACTAAGGGCTTCGGTTGGGCAGGCAGTACTTCCCCCGTTATGAGAGAAGGTCTGTGCAGGTGAAGATGCTGCCTTCAAAGACCCGTCTGTCTGTCTGTATGTATCTGTATATGTATGTGTGTGTATGTATGTATATTTATCTATTTATTCATTTATTTATATCTAATTGCTGCACCCTATCCATTACGACTAGTTTTGGATATCACGACGACCAGTTTTGTTTTTGCTAACTGCCCATGAGATGGAAGCTCGTCAAAGCGTTAGCGTTTTTGGTGCCCCCTCGACGATACTGATGTATTTGTTTCTTTTTTATCTTCACTACCAGGCCATCCCATCGTAAGCCAGCACATTGATTAACTGGTTGCTCATAGCCAAATCACATCAGCTCATCTTTTTGTCACCGAAAAACCATAGAATCGGCGCACTCGTTGAGAACCTGTTCCTCAAGTTTCTACAAAACCCTTTATTAGCATAAAGAAGAGCAGTTTACATCAAATAGGTTTCTTCCTATTCATTATTCCTTTGCTTATTGCGTACTCGCGTTAATATAAGACGGCATTTCCTCAAGAACATTCGCATCATTGCCGATACAGGTCCGAAGATCTGTTTTCTCATGCAGCTCTAGTGCCCACTAAGGCTCTGTCAATCCCAAATAGAGTTAATTGGGTAATTGTTCTCGAAATGGAGTGTGCGCACTGATGGTTTGTGGGGAGGCACCACGAGCGCCGTTGAGCAGGTGGCTGCGGTCCCAGCAAGCACTTAATCATGCCGTAATGTTCCGTATAGTAAAGAGCTCGTATAAACGTCACTAGATCGATAAGACCGATCGATCGATTGGTTGATTTTATTTTTTGTTGAGGATTAAGATTGAATGGGTGCATGCCTACCCTTTTTCCAAAAGCATAGTAAGCAATTTTTGGCATGGCGTCTACAAACAAGTGGTACCACCCGAGCGTATGCTAATACACTATGAAGAACGGTCGTCTATGGTGTCTCTCAGCGTATGCCTGTCTCCGGATCTTCTCAGTTATTTTCTTTAAACCTATTTTGCAAAGTGAACAAACTTAACAGCCAATGAGAACCGTGAAACTTTGCTTTTCACTAATTTATGCCGATCTTTTCNCCCCCCCCCCCTCCCAAAACATGCCAATCAGAGCCACGATCTTTCTCCCTTACTTATAGTTATTCGCGAAAACCACGTATCAGCGGATTCCTTCCTCTTCAGCGATGCACGGGAGCTCCAGCCTCAATTCCAGTTCTGCCATAGCTAGTGCACTATGTATACAGGGTTCCTGTTTTGCAGCATCATAGTTCTAGTAATATTAGTGGTTTGCTTCCTGGGATTCTCGGGATCCCCATCAGCTACCTGGCCTGTATGGGTGTGACGCTTGTATCGGCATTGTTTTTCCCATTTTCTTGCAACGCATGGTTTTTACTTTGGCAGAGATTAAACTCGCAGTCTTGCCGAACGCAGACACGAGCTGACATTCCTAATCACTCTGCCTCCCTCTTTCCAAACCAGTACCTCCATTTATTTCCATATTTTCCTCCGAAACTCACAATCTCAGCGAAACTGGTCTAATGTGGACGCATTCCAAAGCAACTCTCGAGGAATCCTATCTTTCCCATTCCTTAATACTCTACTGACAATTTGAATTCGCTCTGTTCTTGAGTTTATTTTTTTGCTTTTAATGAATAAACTCGACACTTCTTGATCGATTTCTCGATTGTAATATGAAGTGTCGTAGGGCAGATTTTCCCGATGTCCAGATGTCACCGAATGATGACCCGAGTTCATTTCTGTTTTTACAGAGAACACCCTATGGCCACCGTTGCGGCAACGTATGGAAAACTTGGCGATTATCAGAACTTTTCAAGAAGCGCTTTGAAAGGTTTGTTCGTAAAATTCATATTTGCCAAGTTTGTTGACTTTTCTTCATCAAGCAGTGGTTTATTTATGCCTTCAGAGAGCCTTATTGCCTTGACATGATCTATTATTCAGTTGTTTTGGTTGTTGTCAAAGGGATCTTGGCAGAGAATCATACACTCTCTACTAATTGTTCTTACATGAGCAACAGGGCAGTGGTGGCATAGCTGACAGACCCATTTTTTTAACATCTGGCGTTGTCACGACGATCGACCCCAGGACAGTGTAATCACAACGTGCTCACGTCGAAGAAATTGGCCTCCATTGTGCGGGTTGCGACCGGGGCGCAATATCTTCCAGGAAACGGATGGGGACCAATTCGGCCTTTTGAAGGAGAGCTTTTGTTCGAAGCACAATAAACTTTCGCATAACTTCCCGCTTCTTGGAAAGATACGGTCCTTTTTGTGGGTGTTTGAAAACTTCTTCTAAAAGTGGCTTATATAAGGACCAACTGTGTTATGGTGATCCGCAGAGGAGTTTCATGAGAAGAACGACAATCGAAAAGAAAAACTGTTTTTGTGTGANNCTTCTTCTAAAAGTGGCTTATATAAGGACCAACTGTGTTATGGTGATCCGCAGAGGATTTCCATGAGAAAAACGAAAAACGAAAAGGAAAACTGTTTTCGTGTGATATGCAAGGGATTCCGAGTTCTTTTGAAACTTATTTCCTTTTTTGATGAACAGGGGTAGGCATATTCCTCATATGGACCGATTTCTTTCTCTGGTGCGCCATGCATTTGTCATGATGCAATGATGCATTTGTCATACAATCAAATTCGTAGTATGGAGGGTCTCAAGAAGCGACGGTGTTGCATTGGTCCTTCCACCGTAGAGCACTAGCGTTAATAGCGTTGACAAGTGCAGATGCCTCGCGGTCATATTTCCGAAAGAAAAGCGTCCTATGAAAAAGCACAGTGATCCCAAGTAGGAGATACTTATTTTACTCTTTCACATGCTCGACGTTTATCCAGTGGTTCGCCAGTCCCTTACAAGAAGATTTTCTTGCATTTATTCCTACTGCCGTTTATTTCGGTCATCATTTTCCTATATCCATGTTTCAAGTCCCGGTTGGCTCACTATGAACTTTTTTCCTAGCGCACAACCGGTCGAGATGAATTCATTCAGGATTATGTTCCAAGTTGGCAATCGCGACTTTTCTGGGATGTTAGTCGAATCGAACTTAGTTCATGAGGTAGCTCTCATCCCTGCGATGTTAGTAGGCAATGTCTTAAAAATCGAGGGTCGGCATAAAGCAGTCGGCAGCGTGGAAATGTCTACCTTTTCTGACATCTTCACATCATAGCACAAAGCCCATTGTCACTATAGTCAGTTCTTTATTTCAGGGCCTCGCTCCTCCTCTTCCAACATAGACAGTCGAGCAAAACGGATTGCTGAACAGGAAAACATTCATCAATTGCTGCAGCAATGTCGAACCAGTCAACGTGGAGCTGCTTGCCAGGTAATTGGCCTACGTTTCGTAAGTGCATATGGGCTAGCTCTTGTGAAAGTGATTTCATTCATGGTGCATTGGCATCATCATGCTAGACCACTACGAACTCAGTACTGAACTCAGTCTTATCTGGCATGCTTCGCCTATTGCTCCTGAGCATGCTTAACAGGCGACAGACAGTCTTGGCGCAGCTGGTTCTAGACAGAATTAACGCCACCGTGCTTACTTCACCCATAAGCAGTCTTCGGGTGACCTTTCATGAAAACCACCAAACCCATCTCAACACCATTCTGATTGTTTTCGGACTTTCTTCAATGAAGCACTCGAAATCCCTATATCTATCTGAAGAACTGGATATAATATATGAAAGCGTTGTACTCTTTCTCCCACCCCTGAACGACTAGAAAACTGTGTCCGAATCTCCTAGTCAAGGTCTTAAACCCAAAGCATCCGATTCCCACCCTCATTTTAGGACCATCAATTCACACTGAGCAGAAAAGAGGGTAAAAGAATCAGCAGGGGAAGTTGTTGCGGGTCAATTTCTTCTTAATGTCGACTTCATCAGTTGTGCAAATCGTATTTGGTACCTAGTCCTACAGCGACTGATATCCTACCACAAGACAGCCCTTTATGTACTCAATCTCCACCTGTTTTATTCCACATTCTGTTCGTTTGTTCCTTGATATGCTCGAAAATATGTAATAAATAAGACAGGCAGGTGAATTATTTTGAACGGGTAATTGTGCGTGTGCCAGTAGGTTGAGGCCTGATCCAGCGTTATGCCTGAAATGATTGCTCTCTCGGTGACTGAGCGATTAAAGGGCTCCGGTCGGCAAGAGCGCATTTTGAGAGCTTTGACACTTCAAACGTAACCGAATGAATTAATTATCACACGTCGGCAGTTTGGCACAACGAGCAGCAAGCTGAAACTACTGCGAAAAGTCCCCTTGTCTATGCTATGGCATATGTGACCCAGGCTTGATTGCCATTGTTTTTCTCCGGGTATAGATTTGGACAATTTCTTTGCAACTTCGTTCATTCAGTTTTACTAATGAACGAGAGGGAATTGCATTCCTTCCCTGGCTCATTATTGAGAAGAAACCAGCACCTTGTTGAAGTTGGGCCACAGTTTTGCTTGCCCGAGGGGTTGTCAGGCCTTCTTCAAAAGAAACCCAAGCAGAGATTGCCTACCGTGTTGTTCTTTTCTTTTTTGCAGTAATAGAGATTTCAAACAACCCGAGCTCTCTTTTGTCTTTGACAGGTAACCGCATTCATAGGCATTAGACAGGGCAGATGAAATGAGCTTCATGAGTCTCTAATACAAGATTAAATGAGACCTGAATTTACATGGATTATAACTTCTTGTGCTCAGAAAACTTCGCCGTTCGTCATTTAAGCTGCACTTTACGAAAAATCTTTATTTCTGTTGATGAC